AAAAAAAAAAGAAACAAACAAGCTGGCCTTTTACTTGTAAGGCTGAAACCTAACATTGAAGAGATCAAATATTAGTCAAATATCCTAAAATTCTTGAAATTAAAAATTGGCAGTCTTTGAAAWGTGTACCAGCTCTATTGATTTGCATTAAAATGGAGTTCCACATAAGAAATGTGAATTGTGTTCCTGGTTTGCCAGCGTTTTAAAGAGGAATGTTCAGATTCTGCTTCTCTTCTGATTAGCATTATTTTTTTATGATGGAGCAGCCAAAATAATAACTTAGACATCAAAACCATATGAAAAACAATACAAATCAGTCATAAGTGTTCCAAAGAAATAAAAATAAGAGAAATCCAGAATATGAAACGAGAAAGTGACTACATAATACTGSTATGTGCTTATGTCAATTTTAAGAATAAATATGACATTTTAAATGACTAAAATGTAGAAAATACAGTACACACAGGAGAGTTTAAAATTTAAAAATTTCCTAATTACTCTTTTCACTGTCACAAATTTGAACTATATGAAAATTACAAGAATACATTGTTCAGAATTTGTCATTCTGTTAAAAATTACCATTATGMATATTTCCTCAAGTCCTTCAGTACTGTTTGCAAACTTTAAAGAGCTATACAATATTCTATAATAAGACTTTATCAAATCATAATTACTTACTGAATACCTAATATAGTTGTAAAGTGATAAAGGATTCCTTCATTTTATATGTACAATTCTTTCTAATTCTTAATTAATATAAACAATATTGCAACAAAAATTGCTRTCTAGAAAGATTTCCCAGTGTCTGTTCCCACCAGGACTTCTATGTGAGTGTCTACTACACTGCACCCTCAGGGAGRTAGGAAGATTTTGAGTGTCTTATGTTGTTATTCATGTCGCTTTGGCTTAGAGTTAAACAAGGACAGACCTCTCAATAAAATAACTTTTGAGATTGCTTTAGGAGTGTAAAATTCCTTTGTTTTTGATCAAACTTTGTTATTTGAAGGGGAAAAATGTTGTTCCTGGCTCAAMTGATCCCAAATAACTGGGTACCAAAGCTCCTCAAATATTATGAGATGACAAGGTAAAGCCATATGTTGGCCTCTTGTACATTTACATTTACTAAAGGACACAACTAAGTGTAGTGTTGCTCTCTCTCACAATCATATTGTACCCACAGATGTACRGGCTATGGAGGTCATTAGGGTTATTTTACATTTTCAATTAATTCCTTGTCCCACATGCAGTATGTGCTCCAGAAGGAAGTCTCTATGAAACTGACTCAAGTATTATTTTTTTTTTATTTTCTTTCCAGGTATCCGCAAACTTATAAACAATGGCTCATATATAGCAGCATTTCCCCCACACGAGGTAATTTTGAAAGATAATTTCCATATAAAAAAAGGAAAGAAAGAAAGAAAGAGAGAAAAGTTTTCCTGCTTATTGCTCCATACCGTTGCTCTCCATTTGAGTTTGGCTGCTCATCCCAGCAGAGTTCAGTCACTGTGGACCTGGGCCTTCTGAGATCCCAGTATGATCTTGGGAGTATTGCTGGCTCCTCTGCTCCAAATGTCTTCTGTAGTTACCTCCTTTGAGGAAACCCAGACTTAGAGAGGACACTCATGCCAGATATGCTAACCATTGACTTCTGTAGTAGCAGAGAGTCCATTCTTGATCCAACTTGAGATCTACACCACCCCACACAGGGCAGGTTCCTAGTGCATGCTTAGTTCTTGAGGATATCTGAAATCTAAAACAAGCCTACACCACAATCCTCCAGAACATTATCTACTTGTTCCTGGACAGATTATTACACCCCTCATCTTTTTTTTTTTGGAGGGGGCACGTTTAAAATATTTTATTTATTTATTTTTAAATTGGCAATTATAATAATATGTAACAATGCCCCTTTTCCCTTCCCTCCTCTCTCACACTAATCAACTTGTCTACTCTATTGATCTTCCTATTATTATTATTATTATTATTATTATTATTATTACATTCTAATGATATAATGCTAATGTCTGCTTCAAGCTATAGTGGGCACATGTGACTATGGGGTTGGCCTGTGACATGGTATTTAAATTTTCTGAGCACTGCTACTTTACTTCTAAAAATGGAATAATAATATTATATACCCCTTATTGTCAGAAAATAGGATAATATAGATATAGGGCTGGATGCATGAAACACACAAACATATTATTGGCTATTGTCATTTCTATTTTACTAYATAAGGAGGTATTTCATAATTAATATAAAGCAGCTGAGTTTGGTTTCTTGGGTTCAAAACTATGAAAACTGTGCTTTTAATCTTAACTTTCTTGAGCTTCAACTATCATTTATTTTTAAAAAATTATATACACATACTGAGATCTACACCACCCCACACAGGGCATACACACACACACACACACACACACACACACACACACACACACACATATTGGAAGGAGTCTGGCTAAAACACTGTCAAACCATAACAGTATAATTGATTGAGGTTATGGAACAAACTCAAACCAATGATGTAATTGGTATGCTAAAGTTTAATGTCTAAAGCTCAGGAATCTATGCTCTGATCACTAAGGCTGGGAAAGTCATGGATTTGGGGAGAATTATCAGTAGTTATTGAAAGACAGTTGARATTTTGGTTCAGTGTCCTTTTCCTACCCAATATGAGGGCAGTCTGTACATTTTCACAAGCAAATCAACTTTTTCCAGCAAATGCTCCATATGGAGAACCTAGATCTTTACTTCCATTTCTTTGGCTTCCAATATTTTGGCTTTAAATGCCTAGGCTTCCTGAGAGAAGACATCTCTGGCTGTACTTCAGTTTCACTTCCACTCTTCCCTAGTTAATAGTCTATTTTTTTTAAAGGTGACATCCTTATTACAATTTCGGGGCACTTGCCAGCCACAATTCAAAGTATCCTCTATCTACATAGGAACTAATAGCTCTGGTTGGGAATATTTGATCATATGCAAACTACCTTACAGATTTTTGAGAGAAGATTTAAGGATTTTTTTAATATTTTAATTTTTGGAATCTCTTATCCAAAATAAGATTTGAATATTCTACAGTTTAAAMTATGATTAAGGCCTCATCCTTTTCAAATGAGCACTTATTTGATTCCTTAGTATCTGTAAGTGTAAGAAAACTTTTCTTGAAATGGATCACTTCTCAAATCAGGATAAAATCCTGTGAACTGAAGTAACCTTTTCTGGCACTAGGGCACTTCTTAAAGTGGAATAATACTCTTAATTTCTGAACTAAATATTACAACAATTTCTCTCATTGATGGATATTGTATTTATTAAAAGAACTTGGGTTCCAACRGTAAAACATGAATTCTATTTACTTAAGCAAAATAGATCAAAATTGTTTTTAAAAATGTRGTAACTGAAGTAATTGAAGAAATTGTATTTAAGTAACTAGGAGATTATTTCCAGTGAAGGAGTCATCTACCACATCATTCCACTGATAAACTTATTTCTAATCTCAAACTTTCAATAGGTTGCTAAGGAAATAAATAGCTCTTATTTCAAATGTCACCARGAGAATGGACACCAATTTGTATTATTTTATCTGTTTCAGGGAGCTTATAAGAGTAGCCTACCCATCAAAACCCATGGACCTCAGAATAGAAGACATCTGTTATATGAGCGCTGGGCACGCTGGGGAATGTGGTACAAGCACCAGCCTCTGGACTTAATCAGGTTCTGCAAATGAACTGACAATGGAAAGCAAATTGTGCCCTTCCATTGCCATTTTCTTAGAATTGCTTCTTGTACCTACCTTGTCACCTGTTATCAGTGAGGATGCAATCTAGAAAAAGAAACCCCTCTATGATTTTCAGTGGCAGGAAATAAATTCAGGGACATAGTTACATAGTTAYATGGGATGGGGGAATTGAGAAATCAAGCAGGGCTTTTAAGTCAAGAAGGGATTAGGAAGAGCAGAAAATTACTAATATCCCATGGATGAGGGAAGAAGTGCATTAATAGAGTCCAGTACCTGGGCACAGCCACAGCACACAGCCCTGAGAACACCAAGAAGAAGAAAAGATCCTGGATTATCTCCCATTTTTACCTTCAAGTCTTCTAGTTTCTCCTGACCCAGCTAAACCGGAAATTACTGACAGGGAGCCTGGGTAATTCACCACACTATGAAAACTCAAAACAAAAAGAAGCAAAAAAAAAAAAAAAAATTGATCTGAGAGGAGAAAGGAAAATGACCAATGTGGCATTTATGCATATCTAGTGGCCCCTCGGAGCTCACAGGGGGCTGATTCCAGGACTCCTCTTCAAATGCCATAATCCATGGGTGCTCAAATCCCATAWATAAGTTTGTGTAGCATTTGCATATAACCTATACAAGTCCTCCTGTACACTCAGTCATCTCTGGGTAGTTTCAAATACCCAGGATGATGTAAATGTCATATACATTATAGTTCCTTGTTTAGGGAATAATGGAAAGAAAATAGTCTGTTCTTATTCAAAGCAGACACAACTATATAGGCCAAGCTACATTTTCATCTGTGGTTGATTGAATTCTTGAAAGTAGAACCCAAGTATATGGAGGTCCCACTATATTTACCTTTCAACAAAAATGTATCATTTCCTCTATTCCAGGAAGYATGTTCTAGTGGCTTACTGTTATAAACTTGAAATACAATCTTTAGAATTATATCCAAGTATGGTAGTTTGCTCGCCTGGAATCCTAGTGACTCCGGAGRTGAAGGCAGGAGGATAGAAAGTTCAAAGTCAGACTCATTAACTTAGCTCGACCCCATCTCAAAATTAAAAAGGAGGTTGGGGAACGGATCTGAGAGTGTAGCTCTGTGGTAAAGCACACCTGCATTTCAATCCCYAGTGCCAAATCAAACAAACAACCAAATCTAAAGCTGGAGCAACCTGTGTGTTAAGTAAAAAGTAACAATCTTTAGAAGATGGGGAACCTAACGGTAGGAGAGAAGTTAGAAAATTCTTACTGTTTGTACCAGAACTTTTTCAACTGTATGACAGTGAATGTTGYAAGTAGACCAATTGGAGAAATAACAGCTGAGTAGGTATTGCAAACTCCTTGTTCATTTGCTGTTCTCATGGAAGCTATGCTTATCAGCTGAAGACAATAAAATGCACTCATTCTCTTAGCTTCTTTCAGTCTTTCTATGATGGCTACTAGTGAAGCAACATACAGGCTWACAGTAGCCTAGAGTCTCATAGAGAGGAAGGAAACTGAGGATTGGCAAGTAGTTGCTTTAAGGTGTTATATGCTTAGGACACTGAAGCATGAATAAAGGTCTGTAGAAACAAGAACAGGGACCTCTAAATAAAGGTTAGAGGGGGAGTTCAGGGAAGGCTTCCTGGAAGAAGCAATATTAAGTGAAGGACCAGTGCAGGTTGACAGGGAAGAAGTTGATGGTTGTTTAAGTCTTCCACAAAATGGGGAACAACATCAGCTAAGGTCATTGCTGTGTTCTTTGGAAACTGCAGAGTTGAGTTTTGTTGGGGAGGAGATGACATAATGATGTAGATCATGTTCAGCATAAGGATACTGACTGAGAATACAGATTGGGATGGAAATCTAGCCTGTCAGCATCCACYGAGAGGAGAGATTTTTCTAATTTGCCCATAATGCAATATGATTTAGCTTAGATCTGTGATGTAGAGACTTAACAGGATGCTCCTGGGAGAACAAAKAAAGAATTGTAATATAGAAAGTCCTAATAGCATATTAAGGAATTTGGCACAGAAATAGATACACTTGATAAAATCTCCACCATCATTGCCCCTATAGTGTTTAAAAGTAAATGACATCACCATTATAAGATTCATTAAGGAACAGGATTGTTAGATACCTGAGATGGAACTGAAGGGGAATTGAGCTGCTAGCCTCAAGTTTCCATCTGAAATTCTTCTGATTAGTTGTGACATCAGTATTTGTAAGGTCATTTAGGACACCTTAACTCAAGCTAACAATGTGCTTTCTCRTGCAGGCTGTACTTTGGTGAGAAGATTGGGCTGTACTTTGCTTGGCTGGGGTGGTACACTGGCATGCTGATTCCTGCAGCAGTGGTTGGCTTGTGTGTGTTCTTCTATGGATTGGTTACAATGAATGAAAGTCAAGTAAGGTAAGCTGTAAAGAGATTTATAAAAGGTGTTGGCCTGTCTTCTGAGTGGACAAAAACTTAAGGATAAT